CGGAAAGGACTGGCGGTCATGACAGATCTTCCACGGTTGGGTCAAGCGCAAATCGTTGAAACAGGAAAATGACAATGTCAAAATAGATGCAGGAATACAGGTGAATCGTTGTGGAAGCATATGTTCGGTAGTGAGGAATTCGATGTGTCAGTTGGACAAGTACAAAAGCTGTTGGTTAAGAAACTTCAACATCGGAAGTTGTGTTCAGTGTACTACGGGTGTTGACCAACCACCAAAAAGAGGTGCACAAGAGATGGTGTCTGAACCAGTTGTTGCGTTACAGAATGGAGGAAGATGCATTTCTCTTCCGCACCAGTGTTGAGATATTGGCATTTTTGATGCCAGATTTCACAAATTTGTTTTTAGACTTCAGACTGGACACTGTGGTCTTCGAGCACACTTGTACAGGATAGGCATAAAAGAATTTGCTGCCTGTGATTGTGGAGCAGAAAGACAGATCCCTGAGCACATTCTGCAGTACTGCCCTAACCTCTCCCAGCAAAGACTGTGGATCTGGCCCAAGGGAGCCACACTGCAAGAGAAGCTATGGGGGACCAGTGGCGACCTTAAACGCACAATCCTATTTGTGACCCAGACGGGACTCAATGTTAAGCATGACTGATGTCGAACGCAGAAGAAGAAGAAAAAAATTTGAAATTGAACTGGCATAAGATAATGAACTGGCATTTTTGGGTTTTTCCTTGCTTTTCTTATCAAGATGTGCTCACATTTTCTTCATGGTTCCTCCGTAGGAAACACGCAGATTTACTAAAAGCAATGTAGACCTACAGTTAACATCTTTATTTCAGTTTGACTTTGTTGTGATGTCCTGGTACGGACTAATGCAGATTCGCACCATTTCTCTTTGTATTTGTTGTCTTCCCAAACGGATCGTGACTTCGATAAACCAAAGCTCTCTGAAATTTATATTAATCTACTAAAATTTATGCGGGTCATAAAACCAAAACCCACCACTGATACCAAGTGATTCAGACTGTTCAGAAACTACTTGAGGACAGAAAATAGAGAGGATATAGACCTAGTTCTAACTGTGATAGATTCTCTTACCTTTACCAATAGCCACGTCATCCAAAAAATGGAAGAATCTTATGACATCGCAAGTATAATAATAGTAACTGGAAGAAAACATACTGATGGCTCAAAAGATCTTCAGACGGATCATAGGCAGCATATTGCAAACTGCGTCAGTGCACTGTTGCACCAAGAATTGGTAGCATATCAAATCATGAAAAACCCAAAAAACCAAGAATGAAAACTCCGTCAAAAAGCCAGTCACAGCTTACTACAACAATAACTCCTAGGCAAAGTAATGATAAAGTTAAAGGCAGCGGAGTTGCAACTTGCTGTAGGCATGGCCTGCCTTTTATTATCTAAGTGAAATCATAAGAGCGCATGGCCTTCATTATAGATGAGTTGCTAAGACATCTCAAAAGGTTTACGCTGTATCTTTCATTGGTTCCAGTGAGGATGACAGTGAAGAATTCAATCTAGAGCTTTTGATGTGAAGTGGGTACAATGTTATTCTTTATTTGGCATTTTCTGGCATATTTTGGGTAATACTTTGGCATAAAATGAAGTTTTTTTTTTTATCTGGCAACTCTGTTCCGCACATTGGCAGGTGATGAATCCTGGTGTTGTTACTTTGAGCTGAGCAGCAAAAAAAAAAAGAAAGCATGCAATGGAAGCATGCTGGATCACTGAAAGCTAAAACAATTCAAGCTACATGTTTTTGCTGGCAGACAACCTGTTGACAACATCAACTGTACCCACTACTTGGAAACACTAGACACGCTGCACAATGCCATCAAGAATAAACATCACAGAATGCTTTCTCGTGGTGTCAGTTTGTTGCGTGATAAACCCGTCCGCATGTTGTAAAGATCTTGCACAAATCATTAGCATGGAGTGGAAAATTCTGTAACAACCAGTGTATAGTCCTGATTTCTTTTGACTTCTAAAATAAAGATACCAAGAAGCGACAATTTAACACAGATACAGATGTAATGAAGACGGTCAACACGTGGTTCAGTCAGCAACCATAATTCTGTTCCTGCAGATGGCAATATATATTCTATATATCTGCCCTCTCTTCAGCTGAGCTTTCTATTCCATATAGTTTACAAACATCGCTATTCTATATAGTTTACAAACATTGCTATTCTTTATAGCTGACATCTCAATTCTCTATATTTAACATCTGCATCACTGACATCATTTTCTGTAGTTGACATTTATATAGCTGACATCTGTCTCTACAGTTGAGTTCTCTATAGCTGACATCTGTCTCTACAGTTTAGTTCTCTATAGATGACATCTGTCTCTACAGTTGAGTTCTCTATTCTCTATAGCTGACATCTGTCTCTACAGTTGAGTTCTCTATTCTCTATAGCTGACATCTGTCTCTACAGTTGAGTTCTCTATAGCTGACATCTGTCTCTACAGTTGAGTTCTCTATTCTCTATAGCTGACATCTGTCTCTACAGTTGAGTTCTCTATTCTCTATAGCTGACATCTGTCTCTACAGTTGAGTTCTCTATTCTCTATAGCTGACATCTGTCTCTACAGTTGAGTTCTCTATTCTCTATAGCTGCCTACGAAAACAATCAGATGCTTGCCTGAATGCCTATGGCCACTTCTTCTGACCAAACCATTGTGCATAATTCATTTAAAATGAATACTTTGTGTAAATCTACCACACTTGTTGATGTTTTTATCATGCTTGTGCAATAAAGCCATACTATTAGGGGTGAAATCAACCTTTCTTACTAAATCAATATTAGGCTAAGGGAACGAATAGGCACCAAGAGGTGCCTGATACTCCCTATAACTCAGACCATGAAGAAAGAATATCAGTATACCTCTCTTCTCTGTTCACTCTGAGAATCTTCCTCATCATGTTAACAAATAAACACGCTACAAATGAACAAGAGTTAATTTACTTTATTTATCATCAAATGTAACAGTCAGTTCACCATAACAATAGCACATTGGCAACAGCACAGAAGAAAAAAAAAATCAAAGATAAATAAAGTCAATGGTGGCATACATATAGTCATCATAAAATAATGTGTTATTGGGTCAATGGTTCCCAAACTATGCTGTCAGCCACATAAGGAAAGAAAAAAAATGGCGGGTGGGGAGGAGGGTGATGATGCACTGATGTATACGGTGCCAGCCTCATATATTTATAGGCCAAGTGCAAGAACACCAGATGCCAGACTAATATTTTTCACAGACAATCAAGGAATGAAGTATCCAACACCTTAACTTAATGAGATATTACCTGGTAACCATCGCAGACTGCATCGTCTGGAAGCCTAGGTAAATTTATTTAAAATTTGCCTGTGGTGAATCTGAACCCAAGACCAACAGGCAATTGTCTAGGTACTAAACTACACCTAAATTAATAAGTATTTATCCCTTTAATTTCTGTATAAATACAGTTTTGATACAGGCTTTTTCTTGTGTGGGCTCCACTCCACAGTAGGGGGGATAAAGAAGAGACCCATTGCCTCCGTAATAAGCATGCCGTAAAAGTCGACTTTTAGGGAAATATCTTTAAGTCGGAGTGGATCTGCCTGGGAGGTAAGCAACCAACAGTCTGCATACAAATAAGACAGATTTATAAACGGATGTGCATGCAAAGCTCAAGTTCTGTAACAAGACTAAAATTTAGAAGTGGAGAACAACCAGAACTTTCCGCCAGAGTTTACAACTAGTGAACACGAAGAAAATGAAAATACAGGTATTTATTTAGCTCCAAAGTGTATATACGTCTAGGCATATTTGAACATGAATATAAGACAACACAATTTCAAATTTTTTTAAACACACACCCCACCCCCCCCCCCCCCCCCCCCCCCCCCCCCAAAAAAAAAATCATTTGTCATTTTGCGCAGGAATATTTCCATTCCACAAGTGTGATCTAGAGACCACAATTTGGGAATCACTGATCCAAAGGAAATCTGAACAGCTCATATTTCCAGAGAAATATATATAGCATTACAAATCCAGCTTTGATAAAATGCTGTGGACATGTAAACAAAAATATCCAAGCACACAAAATAGATAAAACAATCCAACAATTATACTTTGAAGAGAAAGATGCCCAACTGAACTCTCATAGAAATGTAGTGACAACAGAAAGATGGAGAGAATGTATTCTAAGATATCACACAAGCATAGAAAAACAAAGAAAAAATACAATCGCACATAAGCGCTGAAAAATTTTTTTTTTTTTTTTTTTTTACAGATGGAATCGTAAACCAAAATTTACACAAATACAGAAAGACAAGAAGAAGCTATCACAAAACCTTACACAAGCACAGCAGGACACTTGGTTCATCACAAAACCTTATACATAACATAAAAACCCATTCTAAAACCTCACAGAAGCACAGAAAGTCACACACACACTCAACAACAAAAACTTTTATAAAACCTAACAAGGCAACAGAAAACCATCAAAAAATCTTGCACAAGCACAGGAAGACAGAGAAAACCCATTCTAAAATCTCACACAAACACAGAAAGATAACGGGAACCGATCAGAAAATCCCACACAAACATAGAAAGACAAATGAAACCCACCACAACATCTCACATAAGCACCCTAAGACGAAGAATATCCATTCTAAAACAAACACAGAAAGACGAGACCTCATCAGAAAATCTCATAGAAAAACAAAGGTTACCCATCACAAAGTCTCAAAATGCACAGGAAAACAAAGAAAACCCATTCTAAAACCTCACAAACATAGAATACAAAGAAAACTCATTCTAAAACCTACATAATTACAGAAAGACAAAGAAAACCCATTCTAAAACCTCACACAAACACAAAGAAAACCCACCACAAAACCTTACACAAACACAGAAAGACAAAAGTAACCCACCACAAAATCTCACACAAACACAGAAAGACAAAAGTAACCCACCACAAAATCTCCTACAAACACAGAAAGACATAAGATAACCCATCACAAAATCTCGAACTGTTTCTTTAACTCCACCATCAGCTTCCAGTCAGATTTGGTCATCTCTTCCCTGAAATGGTCTTTGACAGCATCAATCGACTGTCTGGATATCTGTAAATAATAGAGGACATCTGACTTATTATCTAAGCCAGCAGGAAACCAAAAAACTTGCAGCATAAATATGACAATTTCTTCTTCTCTACATCTTTACACACCCTCTTCTTGTTCACACACATCTTCAGAAATCTCCTTCTTCTTCCCCCCTTTCTATACATCTTCTTCTTCTTCTTCACATATCTTTATAGTTGACATCGCTACAGTTGACATCTCTATTCTCTACAGCTGAAATCTGTACAGTTGACATCTCTATTCTCCATAGCTGAAATATCTACAGCTGACATCTCTATAGCTGAAAACTCTACAGATGACATCTCTGTTTTCTGTAGTTGACATGTCTATTCTATATAGCTGCCATCTCTTTAGCTGACATTTATATTCTATATAATTTACATTTCCATTTTTTTATAGCTGACATTTCTACAGATGACATCTCTATTCTATATAGCTGCCATCTCTTTAGCTGACATTTATATTCTATATAATTTACATTTCCATTTTTATTGCTGACATTTCTACAGATGACATCTCTATTCTCTATATATGAAATCTCTGTAGTTGACATCTCTATTCTATATAGCTGCCATTTTTATTCTATAAAGTAAACATTTCTTTTCCATATAGCTGACATCTGCATCACTGACTCCTCCATCTTCTATATTTGACATTTATATAGCTGACATCTATCTCTACAGTTGACTTCTCTATTCTCTATGGCTGACATCTATCTCTACAGTTGACTTCTATATTCTCTATAGCTGATATCTATCTTTACAGTTGACTTCTCTATTCTCTATAGCTGACATCTATCTCTACAGTTGACTTCTCTATTCTCTATAGCTGACATCTATCTCTACAGTTGACTTCTCTATTCTCTATGGCTGATATCTCTATAGCTTGCATCTCTTTTCTCAAACACAAGGGGTCTGGATCAGGTCCACATGTTGGACACCCTTGCAACAGATACTTAGCTATCCTTCTACCAGTTCCAACTAGGTCAAATGATGCTTCATTGTCATGTAGCCATCTTGTAAGCCATCTGTGTGACATAATGATTCCCTTCCAATGAATGCTGAATCAAGAGTTGACGTCACTCCGTTCTGGACTTCCCCACATGGGCTCCTTCTCCCTCCTCAGCAGCTAACAAAGATTCAACATATTCATAATAGTACCAGATTGCAACCTGATTAGAAGTATCCCTGGATTTTTCCTTCATCACTGAAAATCTCCCATAGCTGAATTACAGTCCAGTCATAGGTAGGGTCTTCCAAGCCAGACAGGTCCATAGGCAAGGATACATATTTTCTTTTACTGAAAAAATCTTCTTGAGATAAAACATGCAGTAGCTGCAGAGAACTGTTTCACAAGAATTATGAGAACCAGGAGTGGCTGGCTAAATACAGGCTCCAGGTTTTATGTGGCAGACATGGGTTCGAATCTTGATAAGGTATGGAGATGTTCGTTTTTGTTCGAGAGAGAGAGAGAGAGAGAGAGAGAGGGAGAGAGAGAGAGAGAGAGAGAGAGAGAAGAGAGAGAGAGAGAGAGAGAGAGAGAGAGAGAGAGAGAATGAAATGTACAGACAGGGAAAAAATTAGAGGGCAATAGAGAAAGAAGTAGAGTTAAGAAAGGGATAAAAGAGAAGAGAAAAAGAGAGAGTCAGAGAGGTGAGCCAAAGAGCCAACCAAGTGAACGTGCGTCTACAGACCTTGCTGACCAGCAGGTCGGTCTCGTCGAAATGGCGTCCAAACATCTTGGGAGCCTCGCCAGGCAGAGGCATGATCTTGATACAGATCTCCTGTCCCTGGCGGGCGATCTCCACCGGCTTGTGGTTCATCTCAATGCTGGTCACCCGGCCTATGTCAATGAACTGTGGAAGCAGACGTGTTAACAATATTACTGCCGCTATTTCTGAAAGAAAATACACATAGAATGTCTTTACAATGAGAACCTCGTAAGCACTCAAGTAAATTCAGACCCCCACTCCCCCAAATGGAACAGGGAACTAAGCGATGGGGAGGACGAGGGGTGAGCTGCATGTAAAATCAAAGGATAGGACGACTGGGTACACGTCTGTTGAGGGATTATGCTCCGCTGGGAGATAAAGAGCAGAAGGAAAGAAATAATGATACATTTAACAATGCATAGTTACATTCTCAAACAAAACAGTTCCATTCACATTTAGGGGCAGACTCTTGCCCACTTTCTATGACAGGGAAAAAAAGGGGGGGGGGGGACTGAGTCAATTATACTTTTTTTCTTTCTGGAACGGGATCCCTCCCCCCCCCCCCCCCGGTTTTAGCGCCCCTGTCCTAAGCCGACCAGGGCAAGGTTACTACATTAATGAGGGTGGTAGCGATGAGTTGTGAGATAGCCGAAGACGGCAGCGTCCTATCAGATGGTCTGCTAGCTGTCACTCCACTCCGAACCGTCCAAGATAGTTATGCCCTCTCTATACTGCGACCGCTTTTTCTTTCCCTAGCGCCCTTCAACGAGGTAACAACCAACTAACGGCGTCTCCACCCCCTCCTTTCCTATCCTAACCCGCCCCCCCCCCCCCTCGTTGTAAAACAGTAGTTCCCAATTAAGACCTGTTGACCACCACTAATATTCAAAGGTCAGCGAGGGAGCACAATTACTTTAAGTCATATAGCACGTAAATCTATACTAGAATTACAAATAAAAAACGATAACAACAGCGGACTCAGTTATCTTACCTTCTGTTTATTTAAAAAAAAAAAAAAAGATAATATCACAGACTCCTGAACTTGCTTTCCACTAACCTGCCGGGTTCCTCAAATTGAGGACCAGTGTTGTGAGAGAAAAACAGTCAAACCGGAAACGGATAAGCCGTCTGAAGCAGACGATGGGAATGACCTGTATTTAGCACCCTTGAAAAAAAAAAGGGGGGGGGGGCGTAAGAGGGAGAAGGGGGGGGGGGCAAGAAATGGCGAACAATTCTCGACGGGGCGAGCGCTTCCTCGAACTTTTGGTTTATTCTTTTAAATGTATTTTCCCCTCGAGGACTGAAACCTTACAGATTAATTAATAACACCCAGCGACTAAAAGAGTCACTAATCGGATGAGAATTCAACAGAAGCAAACCATCTCCGCCCCCCCCCCCCCCATACGATTTCTAGGTAGCGTCTCTTTTTAAACATTTGTTCACACACTTCATATTAGTTCAAATGAATCTGCTACTCAGCAGAGAGGGAAGGAATAGGAAGCCTCGAGTCTAGGGATTTAAGTTCATATGTCTGTTGCAGTCACTGTGAACTGTCAGGTAATAATGTATACTTTTGCCAAAACGGGGAAAAAAAAACCCCACAAGACCATCACCTTCTCACGATCCGAATTCTAGTCTCCTGCATCACAGCCTAGTGCTCTAACAAGTCGACTAGAGAAAGCCGTTTACATCAGTTATATTTGGGCCGGCGTCGGTTATGAAGAGAGTCTGTAGGCTCAAATAAGCTCAGGTGTGTGGTTAATACTGTGCTTGTAATGCTGTAAACTTCGGCGGATATTTTGGTTGTTCGCCCACTCCTGGACTTTGGTCTTGATACACAACTTTAGTTGTGGGTGCACATCCAGGATACGTTTGTTATTAAAATAAGTCGTTTGTTATTAAAATAAGTCGTCATAGTGTGGGTTCCGAGGCCCCATTGTGGGGGATAACAAGAACTGACCTGACCCACTACCCCTCCAAAAAAGCATGTCATAGGAGTCGACTAATTATGGGTCTGTTTCGAAGTTGAAATGCATATCCCTGGCAGGCAAGGAACCAAGGGACAACAAAAAAACTGGTCTAGAGGCAGAGAAACACAACGTTCGAAAGATGTGGTTCGATTATAACAGCGGTTCTCAACCTATGGGTCGAACGACCCTTTCACAGGGGCCGCCTAAGACCATCGGAAAACACACATTCACTGAAGTTATGACGCAGTCACGAAAATAACTATATGTTTGGGGTCGCCACAAGATAATGAACTGTATGTACTAAAGAGTCCGTGGCATTGGGAAGGTTTAGAGCCACTGGCTTATAACATCGATGCGACATTTGCTCCACACGTCAGACTTTGGTAGGTATGTGCCCGTCCAGGTTAGGCTTTCCGTACAGGTGCCAGAACATGGGAGACCTTAAGCGCCCCCCTTCCACCCCATAATTTTTTAAGGGGATTAAGATGCACACATTAACCATATTTAGAAAATGTTTTTAAATGTATTTGCTTACTTAGTTAGTTAGTTAGTCTTTCCTCTTGTGTCGAGTGCGGCACATAGGGCTGAGGTCATGACTCTCCATGCATGGCGGTTCGTTGCAATCTGTTGTAGGTCTTGGATGTTTGAGTGGCCCATGAGCGAGCCTTCCCTGATGATAGTTCTACGTAGGGTTTCCCTTGGTCTTCCACGAGATCTTTTCCCCTGTGGTGTCCAAATGAGGGCTTGGTAAGGAAGTCTTGATTTATCCATTCTAAGGGCGTGGCCGACATAGTTCCAGCGGTGTTTTCATTTAAAATTAGACACAGACTCTTGCCTGGATTCTTGCCTTATTTGTGTATTGGTATTTTCAAAACTGTCTAATTTTGTGTCTAGAGTTTTTGTTGATTTCCAGCTCTGGCATCCATAGGTTAGTACTGGAATCACACAAGAATTGAAGATCTTGAGTTTTGTGTGTTTGCTAAGTGTCTTTGATTTCCAGATGTTGGACAGTTTATTGAAGGCACTAGATGCCAGTGCTATTCTAAATGGTATTTCTGGTGCGGTATCTCCTGTAGATGACATCTTGCTCCCTAGATAAGTGAAACTGTTGACTTTTTCAAGGCTGTTGTTGTTCAGCGTGATATCAACTGAACTGTTGGTAAGGTCTAGAATTTTTGTTTTTGCGGTGTTAATTTGCTTACTACATCATATTATTTCAAGTATATTAGTATTGGCCATTTAACATATTAATAATAATAATAGAACTGTAATGTCCTATAATAATAATAGAACTGTAATGTCCTATAATAATAATAGCACTGTAATGTCCTATAATAATAACAGAACTGTAATGTCCTATAATAATAATATAACTGTAATGTCCTATAATAATAAAACTGCAATGTCCTATAATAATAATAGAACTGTAATGTCCTATAATAATAATAATACAACTGTAATGTCCTTTAATAATAATACAACTGTAATGTCCTATAATAATAATACAACTGTAATGTCCTATAGTAATAATAGAACTATCATGTCCTATAATAATAATAGAACTGTAATGTCCTATAATAATAATAGAACTGTAATGTCCTATAATAATAATAATACAACTGTAATGTCCTATAATAATAATAGAACTGTAATGTCTTATAATAATAATAGAACTGTAATGTCCTATAATAATAATAGAACTGTAATGTCTTATAATAATAATAGAACTGTAATGTCCTATAATAATAAAAGAACTGTAATGTCCTATAATAATAATAGAACTGTAATGTCCTCAATGGCAAATAGATTTAATAAAATACTTAAAATAATATGACAAGTAGGCTATAAAAAAATAATTTAATAGTTAATGTCTATATAGGGTTAATCAAAGAAGGCCTTACAACCACACTTACACACAATTACTGGGTGACAATTACCTACAACCCCCCCCCCCCCCCCTCTCTTTTTGAATAAGTAAGGACATATTTATATCTCAACCCCAATAAATTTTTTTAACCCCCCCCCCCCCCCTTTTTTTTTTCCTCAATCGCCATTTCTGCTTAAAATCTTTCTTAGGTGAAAACAGGGGAGGGAAGTATGAATTCCGCATTTTAAACACACGCACATACACAAACCCAAACCAAGCCCACAGGACAATTACGGAACTTTGCATATAACAAGGGACACAAACACACATATATAAAAACCCCCTTTAAATATGAATGCAGGCCGGCCAGCAGATCAAAGCAACGGGCGGGGAATGTAGAGCGGATGTTGACGGACGAAATATGTCCCCCACGTGTTATTGCATCATTGGCTGGCGGGTTTCTTTGAAGCTGCTGCTCGCCTGCCCTCCACATGTACCCGAACCTTTACAGACGCCAAGCTCTGGGTCACAGACTGTGTAGGAATGACAGGAATGGAATTCTGCCCCCCCACGGGTTCCAGAGCCCCAATTTTGGGGCCGGGGTCAAGAACACACCCGCTGCCTGTGCAAGCTGTAAAAGGCGACTAATTAAAGACACTAGTTGTTATTTTTCCTTTAAAGAACCCCCCCCCCCCCCCCCCCCCAATTTGTAGGATTAGCATCTCAAGTATAAATAAAAGGGGGTGGGGAGGTGGTGAGTGGTTTTGAGGCATAGCGTCTGTCTCGAGTGCTGAAGATCCTAGTCTTTGGGTAGCAAAATTGGACGCCCCTGTGTATTGTTGCCCACAGAAAAGAAAAAATTGAAAAAGAGAAGCTTAATGGCGCTACCCGGGCAAAACAAAATTTTGAGTTTAAAATCAACCCAAAGTATTTCAGGATCCTCGCCTGTGCTAAGGAGTTCGTACACTGCAATGAGATTTTTCGGACTCAGACTTGAGTCAAAGGTAGAACGGAGCACTTATAGGTTACTATCTTTGAGCCATGATGCAGATCTGTTGTCTGAACCTAAACCTTAGATGAATAAGAATCAAATAGCTAGAAATCAGAAAAACTCCTTTTAACCCTAACAGGGTTATTTGTGGGGTGCTAAAAAAACGGTTTTGTGGTCAGGTGAAGTCCAGTATGGGTGGGATGTGCCCGACTGTCCGCAAGTTTACAGCCGGTGAACAGTTAACGAGAAGGGCTGTGGGAGTGACCATAAGAGATAAGATCAGGAATGAGATTATAAGAGACAAAGTCGGCACAGAACCAATTCTAAATTACATACGAAGACAGCAAGTGAAATGGTTTGCCCACTTAGAGAGAATGCCTTGTGACACCATACCATACAAAGCATACATGGAAAGAGAAGAAGGACGTAGAGCACGAGGTAGACCAAGAACAAGATGGAAGGATAACATCAGAGAAACTCTACAACAGCATGATGTGCCTATGGTCAAGGCGGCCAGAAGAACTAGAGACAGAACCTTATTTCTCCCTCGACACCCACAGCGGTAAAAGAGGAAGTGAAGAAGAACAGATAACACCAAGAAGAAGAATTATGTCCCTTCCCATGTGGCTTTTGCGAGACCAGTTAGGGTCAGGGAGGCAATAAGAAGACCGACCCAAAGCTACTAAAAAAAAAAAAAAAAACATCCAGCCAAGATGTATAAAGCAGTCTGCTTCACAGTACGACAATCACAGAATGACAATAAATGTTGTGGTTAAAAAGCCATTATCAGTATATAACAAAAAGTTACTGATATAGAGACAAAATACATATATATATATATATATAATTTTTAAAAATCAGCTCTGGGTGAAGCAAAAATTTACCCAAGAAGGATGTACTAAAAGGTGACCATTCAGCAGTAAAACAGGTGCAATAAGAATAGGTACAATAATAAGTTTTTAAAAAACTGTGCAATGAGGATAAATTTAAAATAGTGCAATAAGGATAAGTAATAAAAAAAATTTGCAATAAAGTTAAACAAAATAAGTATAACAAGGATAAGCAAAAAGTGCAATAAGAATAAGTTAGAAAAAAGTATAATAATTATAAGTTTTAAAAAGTTCAATAAGGATAAGCAAGTTACAAAAAAAGTGCAAATAAATCAAAAAGTGCAACAAGTAAAAAAATTATGCTATACGGATAAGTAAAGTAAGTGCAATAATGCTAAATTTAAAAAGTACAATAAGGATAAGTAAAGTAAAGTAATAATGCTAAATAAATAAGTACAATAAGGATAAGTAAAGTAAATGCAATAATGCTAAATAAATAAGTACAATTAGGAAAAGTAAAGTAAACGCAATAATGCTAAATAAATAAGTACAATAAGGATAAGTAAAGTAAAAGCAATAATGCTAAATAAATAAGGATAAGTAAACACAATAATGTTAAATAAATAAGTACAAAAAGGATAAGTAAATGCAATAATGTAAATAAAAAAGTGCAATAAGGATAAGTAAAGTGCAATAATCATAAGTAAAAATAAAGTGCAATAAGGATCCCACTAAATTAAAAACACTAAATAAAGCAATAAGGTACACTCATAAGGCAGTTCTATGAAAACCAAACGAACTCACCTCTTTGCTAGGCACACAAAGCGGTGTGCCCTCCTTTAAAAACCCCGCCTCCACACTGACTCCAATAACAATTGGGTCCCGGGAGTTAAAGATGAACTGAGGTAAGATCCGTAATTTGCACGGGAACACAGCAATATGCTTAAACTCCTCCTGCCTCTTTCGCTTCAGATCATCTCTGAATTTCATGAAGGCATCAAACAGATGATAAATGATATCCGCAGTGAATATCCGCACGCCCAGGTTTTCTGCCAGTTCTTGTGCCTCTCTTTCGACCTTCACATCAAATGCAAGAATGACAGCATACCTGCAGGTGAACATATGAAACAGGTTAACCCTTTCAGTCCCAAAAAGTTTAGTACAAAAACAATTATTTTTCCCATTAAATATTGCCATGAAAACTCTCACCACTTGCTGTGATGTAGGAATAGGGGGAAAAAAAGAAAGGTACCCCTGAGGTTGCCAGATTTATTTAGTGTCCACTGATCAAACCTTAAATAAGAAGACATATGATGTGATGTTTGTGGTAATCAGTCACTAACGAATAATGCATACACATGATGTAAGATAACAACAACCAGGTCTAAATATCCATAAGGGAAAGACACACATAATGGGAACAAACCAAGCAAATAGTAATCTGGTTTCTTTTAATGGTATCCCATTCCAAAACGTCATACACATATTTGGGCAGTAATGTAGATAAAGATTGTTGGAACTGATATTAAAATATGAATACAAAAGGCAAGAGGGGATTTCATAGCATTTGAAAATGGGTTTTAAGTCAACAAAAATTAAAATTATTACCTGTGAACTTAAAACATTTAATTCTAATGTCAAATCTGTAGTGCTGTGTGAAGCAGTAACATGAAGAACAACTAAAACAATTATTCACAAACTTCTAACCTTCATTAACTTGTGCCTACGCAGAAAAGGGAATTAAAAGGTATGACAGAATCAATGTTGAGCTTTGAGAGAGAAAACAAACAAGTTCCAGTGAACCAAGAGGTGAAGAAAAGATGCTGTTATTGGATAGGACATAGGTTGAGAAAACCTGCGACCAATAAAACTAGAATGTCTTTGCCCTGGAACCTACAGTGGCATAGAAATAAAGGCAGACAAAAAAGAAAACAAAAACATGAAGAAGGGAGCTAGAGTTTAGTTTAAAAAGATGTGGAGGACATGTGGTGAGTTGCATGCAATAGCAAACGATAGGAGTACTTGGCATGAGTTGGTTGAGGGCCAAAGATCCATTGGGGGATAGAAGGTGGAAGAAGAAGAAGTCAGTAACACAACACGTGTTGTTTAGGACTGAAAGAGTTTAGGATGCAACAAATCTGTAAAGAAATAGTCAAGAGCCATTTCCCCCCCCCCCCCCCTTTCCACCAGTAGCAGATCGGACATATGATGATTGACTCACACTTTTATAGGCACTTAGTGATGGGGTCAACATCATGCCAGCAGCCTTTACTTTCTAGGACAGTGTTTTCCAAACTTTTCTTAGTCGAGGCGCCTTTTTTCATTTACAATTTTTCCATGGTGCACTAACCTAAGTAAATGTATGACTAATCGTATGTAGGAGATAAAAAAAAAACCTTGCGTATCTTCAAATATTTTGTAGCGCCCCTGTGAAGAAGTCACAGCTGTCCGGGGCGCCACGGCGCACAACTTGGGAATCACTGTTCTAGGACTTTAAACCTGGTTCCCACTTTAGCTTGGGTCAACCTAGGAGCCAATGTCAATTTTGTAGATTTATGCTTCTGCTTCCTGTTTACCGGCTGTTCAATTCTGGCAGAGAGTTCTGGTTGTCCGTCCACTCCTGGAGTTGTCCTGTTTCAGAACCCTGAGTTTTGCATGCTCATCTATTCTACAGATCTGGCTTACTTGTACGCAGACTTTTCAATTCTTGACTGACAGGCAGATGTATTGGGATTTTCAAGGGAAAACCCATATTTAGTTGTCTTTTGGTACAACAGGCTTGTTAAAGGGGGCAGTGGAACACTAAGAAAAAGAAGGAAAAAAAAAACACTTCTAGAACATCCAATCAACATAAACAGAAGGCACTTACTGGGAGTCATGTTCCAACATCACGGAGGCCCTCATGATGTCCTTCTTGTGTACAGGACCAATACCGATGCCAGCATACTGGAATGACAAAGACATGCTTAGAGGGCGGGCAGAGATTGTCCACAAAGGAAACACCTGTACTGTAGTTTCACATTTGGGTGGGTGGCTGGTTGGTTTATTGGCAGTGTGCCCGGTGTGCTTGCTGGGTGGTGGGTCTGTTAGCTGTTTGGTTGGTTTTATGCCTGAGTTTTTGGTTATTTTGATAGTTTTATGGCAAATTTGTTGGCTGATTTTAAAAAACAACTGTTTGTTTGGTTGATTTGTTGGCTAACTTGCTGTTTGGTCAGTTTTTTTAATTAGCTGACTAGTTAGCTTGTTAGCTGACTTGTCGGCTGACAGGTTTGTTTGTTGGCTGATTTGTAGTTTGTTGGCTGCCTGGTTGGTTTATTGGCTGACTAATTGGTCTGTACTGTTGTCTACTTTTGTTGTTGTTGGTTGTTTGGTTGATTTGTTAGCTGACATGTTGGCTGACTGGTTGGTATGTTTGCTGATTTGTTGGTTTTTGGGTTAATTTGCTGGCTGGTCTATTAGCTTGTTGGTTGCCTGGCTGATTGTTTTTTGTTTTGTTTGGCTGACTGGTTGGTTAATCCTTTTTTCTGTGTCACATCTGGTTTGCTCGCTGTCTTATCTCATAATAACAGACTTATTCTGTTGTTTTAATCTGGAAAGTGGTATACATGTATCCCTTTTTAACAGTGCTAGACCCTCTCCCTCCCCAACAGTGCAAGATCCTCTCCCTCCCCAACAGTGCAAGACCCTATTCCTTTTCAACAGTGCAAGATCCTCTCCCTCCCCAACAGTGCAAGACCCTATTCCTTTTCAACAGTGCAAGACCCTCTCCCTCCCCAACAGTGCAAGACCCTCTCCCTCCCCAACAGTGCAAGATCCTCTCCCTCCCCAACAGTGCAAGACCCTCTCTCTCTCTCAACAGTGCAAGACCCTCTCTCTCTCTAACAGTGCAAGACCCTCTCCCTCCCCAACAGTGCAAGACCCTATTCCTTTTCAACAGTGCAAGACCCTCTCCCTCCCCAACAGTGCAAGACCCTCTCCCTGCCCAACAGTGCAAGACCCTCTCTCTCTCTAACAGTGCAAGACCCTCTCTCTCTCTAACAGTGCAAGACCCTCTCTCTCTCTAACAGTGCAAGACCCTCTCTCTCTCTAACAGTGCAAGACCCTCTCCCTCCCCAACAGTGCAAGACCCTCTCTCTCTCTCTCTAACAGTGCAAGACCCTCTTCCTCTCTAACAGTGCAAGACCCTCTCCCTCTCTAACAGTGCAAGACTCTCTCCCTACCGAACAATGCAAGACCCTCTCCTTCTCTAACAGTGCAAGACCTCTCCCTCTCTAACAGTGCAAGACCCTCTCCCTCTCTAACAGTGCAATACCCTCTCCCTCCCCAACAGTGCAAGACCCTCTCCCTCCCCAACAGTGCAAGACCCTCTCCCTCTCTAACAGTGCAAGACCCTCTCTCTCTCTCTCTCTAACAGTGCAAGACCCTCTCTCTCTCTCTAACAGTGCAAGACCCTCTCTCTCTCTAACAGTGCAAGACCCTCTCTCTCTCTAACAGTGCAAGACCCTCTCCCTCTCTAACAGTGCAAGACCCTCTCCCTCCCCAACAGTGCAAGACCCTCTCCCTCCCCAACAGTGCAAGACCCTCTCCCTTCCCAACAGTGCAAGACCCTCTCCCTCCCCAACAGTGCAAGACCCTCTCTCTCTCTCTCTCTCTAACAGTGCAAGACCCTCTTCCTCTCTAACCGTGCAAGACTCTCTCCCTACCGAACAATGCAAGACCCTCTCCTTCTCTAACAGTGCAAGACCTCTCCCTCTTTAACAGTGCAAGACCCTCTCCCTCTCTAACAGTGCAATACCCTCTCTAACAGTGCAAGACCCTCTCTCTCTCTAACAGTGCAAGACCCTCTCTCTCTCTAACAGTGCAAGACCCTCTCCTCTCTAACAGTGCCAAGACCCTCTCCTCTCTAACAGTGCAAGACCCTCTCCTCTCTCTAACAGTGCAAGACCCTCTCTAGACCCTCTCTAACAGTGCAAGACCCTCCCTCTCTAACAGTGCTAGACCCTCTCCCTCTCTAACAGTGCAAGACCCCCCTCTAACAGTGCTAGACCCTCTCTCCTCTAACAATGCAAGACCCCTACCCTCTCTAACAGTGCTAGACCCTCTCCCTCTCTAACAGTGCTAGACCCTCTCCCTCTCTAACAGTGCAAGACCTCTCCCTCCTCTAACTGCTAGACCTCTCCCTCTCTAACAGTGCTAGACCTCTCACTCTCTCTAACAGTGCTAGACCCTCTCCCTCTCTAACAGTGCAAGACCCTCTACCCTCTCTAACAGTGCTAGACCCTCTCCCTCTCTAACAGTGCAAGACCCTCTCCCTCCCCAACAGTGTAGACCCCTACCCACCCCAACAGTGCTAGACCTACCCTCCTCTCTAACAGTGCTAGACCCTCTCCCTCTCTAAGTGCTATACCCTCTCCCTCTCTAACAGTGCAGATACCCTCTCTAAACAATGCAAAGACCCTACCCTTTCCCTAACAGTGCAAGACCCTCTCCCTCCCTCAACAGTGCAAGACCCTCTCCCTTCCCTAACAGTGCAAGACCCTACCCCCTAACAGTGCTAGACCCTCTCCTCTAACAGTGCTAGACCCTCTCCCTCTCTAACAGTGCAAGACCCTCTCCCTCTCTAACAGTGCTAGACCCTCTCCCTCTCTAACAGTGCTAGACCCCTACCCTCCCCAACAGTGCTAGACCCTCTCCCTCTCCAACAGTGCTAGACCCTCTCCCTCTCTAACAGTGCTAGACCCTCTCCCTCTCTAACAGTGCTAGACCCTCTCCCTCTCTAACAGTGCAAGACCCTCTCTCTCTCTCTAACAGTGCAAGACCCTCTCCCTCTCTAACAGTGCAAGACCCTCTCCCTCTCTAACAGTGCAAGACCCTCCTCTAACAGTGCAAGACCCTCTCCCTCTCTAACAGTGCTAGACCCTCTCCCTCTAACAGTAACAGTAACAAGACCCTCTCCCTCTCTAACAGTGCTAGACCCTCTCCCTCTCTAACAGTGCAAGACCCTCTCCCTCTCTAACAGTGCTAGACCCTCTCCCTCCCCAACAGTGCTAGACCCTCTCCCTCTCTAACAGTGCTAGACCCTCTCCCTCTCTAACAGTGCTAGACCCTCTCCCTCTCTAACAGTGCTAGACCCTCTCCCTCTCTAACAGTGCTAGACCCTCTCCCTCTCTAACAGTGCTAGACCCTCTCCCTCTCTAACAGTGCAAGACCCTCTCCCTCTCTAACAGTGCTAGACCCTCTCCCTCTCTAACAATGCAAGACCCCTACCCTCCCCAACAGTGCTAGACCCCTACCCTCCCCAACAGTGCTAGACCCTCTCCCTCTCTAATAGTGCTAGACCCTCTCCCTCTCTAAGTGCTATACCCTCTCCCTCTCTAACAGTGCTAGACCCTCTCCCTCTCTAACAATGCAAGACTCCTACCCTCCCCAACAATGCAAGACCCCTACCCTCCCCAACAGTGCTAGACCCTCTCCCTCTCTAACAGTGCAAGACCCTCTCCCACTCTAACAGTGCAAGACCCCTACCCTCCCCAACAGTGCTAGACCCTCTGCCTCTCTAACAGTGCAAGACCCTCTCCCTCTCTAACAGTGCAAGACCCTCTCCCTCTCTAACAGTGCTAGACCCTCTCCCTCTCTAACAGTGCTAGACCCTCTCCCTCTCTAACAATGCAAGACCCCTACCCTCCCCAACAGTGCTAGAACCCTACCCTCCACAACAGTGCTAGACCCTCTCCCTCTCTAACAGTGCTAGACCCTCTCCCTCTCCAACAATGCAAGACCCCTACCCTCCCCAACAGTGCTAGACCCTCTACCTCTCTAACAGTGCTAGACCCTCTCCCTCCCCAACACTGCAAGACCCTCTACCTCCCCAACACTGCAAGACCCTCTCCCTCTCTAACAGTGCAAGACCCTCTCCCTCTCTAACAGTGCAAGACCCTCTCCCTCTCTAACAGTGCAAGACCCCTACCCTCCCCAACAGTGCAAGACCCTCTCCCTCCCAAACAGTGCAAAAGTGGTAAATACAGGCACTAATGGTATTTTGTTGTTGTTGCTTTTGGCACATATCCTTAACTACCTAAGCTCACTGGGATCAGACACTATGAGAGCATCATTTAGCAAACATTGTGCAGACTTCCAGCTGCTCAAACTTACGAGTTCAGACACTATTACAGCACAGTTTAACAACAGTTTCGCACACATCTCCAACTTACCGGGATCTCTGAGGTTTTGAGGAACTCAAGCAAAGCTTCCAGGGATCCTAAAGTGGATGCCTGAACGAAAACTCCTCGCTCCTGAACCTTGATGGACTCCAGGGTCTCCTTCAGAACAGCAGCAACTTCTTCCTGCAGGCAAGAACAGGAAAACCCCAAAAGGTGAACTAGCTACTGTCAGTCAGCATTTCACAAGATGAAGAATAAACTAAACATTGTACTGCTGTTGATTGTAGTAATTAAAAGAGTTCCTAACCCTTTAACCACATGAATGCTAAAAAAATAAATATGTCATGAGCCTATAGGAATTTCCAGGAAAAAATCCTTTATAAAAAAAAATAAAAAAATAAACCAGGTCACTAATAATTTCTTTCAAAAGTATATTTATCTCCATTTTACATCTTTTCTTCCAGTCTTCTTTTCCTCCAGTTACCTCATCAAAGTGTTGGGGGAGATACAAGCATCTTCTGTGCTCTCTTTCTAAAGTGTTGTATAAGCTGATCTTCAATATATTTCTTCAACCATGTTCTCTTTCGCAGCTGATGCCAGGGTATTCTCATGAGATAGCCAAACCATCTCATTTGTTGCTCTTTAATGAATACCATGACTGGTTTCAGTCCTAGTCACAGTCTATACATTTCTCAACATTTCTGTCAAATTCTTCTCTCAATGTAACTCACTCTAACCCTGCTGTTGCTTCAACTCATATGTTGGCAGGCTTCACGCAGAGCCGTAAGCAGGGTTTTAGAGGTCCTAAATGGTTAGCATCCTTTGTGTCTTTTCTCTGGAGTATAATAAATAGCCAAATGAACTGGCCAGCTCTGTAGCACTCAGTGGTGAATGCATATATATCATCATCCTCATGTTGCAGGTCCTTTGCAGAACGTCGCTCTCATCATGGTCTGCCTGAAATAAAGTCTCTTACCAGTTCTCCCGCCTCATGAACTTTCATACTCAAGAAGTCACTTATATCCTGTGCCCATCTTCGCGTTGGTCTGCCCCTGCCCCTCCTTCCTGGTACCATGCCTTCTGCTATTATTTTTTTTCAATCCGTCATGGCGCTTGACATGACCAAAATATTTCAGCTTCCGAGACAGGATGCTGTTTATTAGCCAATCTTCCTTGATGTTCAGATCTTTCAAGATGCCAGTATTTCTCCTCTTCTTTGTCCAAGATATTCTGAGAATCTTTCTATAGCATTTCAGCTCAAAAGATGCATATATATAAATATATATATATAAAGCTACATGCAGTCATTAAGGTGTAAGTGAACAATGCAAAAGTACAAACAGATCACTACGGTCTGGAGACAATGGTATAGAGGGGAGTTACCAAGGGATCAGGCCAACACTCTGTGGAAAGGCCAGATGAACATATAATAAAATTAATAGTAGGGATGCAGAGATGCTGAACCACACACAAATGTGGTGCATGAAGAACATAACTCATACTAGTCAACACCTGTCTACACATCTCCACGGTCATCCTAGACAACACAAATGGGATCAGCATTTTCTTTGAAGTCAGAGTGCACTGAACTATACAACAGTGAGGAACCAACAGTATGCATACCGACAAACCAGATCTATAAAAATGATGTGCATGCGAAACTCAAGTCCTAGAAAAAGACCAAAGTCAAGAAGTGGACAAACAGTCGTGACTTTCCGCAGTACTTTACAGCGGGTGAACACAAAGGAGAAGAACAAATATTTTCCTACCGGTCAATACACTGTCACTACTGTATGAGATTTCAGTACTGGCATTATTTCTTTACTGACTAAATGATGCAGTTACTGAGGTGGATTCCTCACATATGGGTTCCAGTGCATCGTTTTTATGGGAACAGTCGTCATGACGGCTTGCTGAGAAAGGTGAAGACAGGGATGCTTCGAGCAGAGTGGCAAGCTTCACTGGGAAGGTCACGGCTAGTGGGCATACTTTGGATCTTTTCTCCAGGTTATGCCGGCGTAGTAGGTATTGAACAGGCAGACAGATTGGCTGGATCTGCACCACTGGGCGGTGAATTGATACATGACAAGGCAGATGTGGTCAAGGCCCTTTGGGAACAAGCAATGGAATCAGTAGAGAAACAAGATTATTATGGCCTGGAGAGAATAAGGCACCTTGGTGTAACCAGAGGGTCTGGTCTCACTACACTCAGAGGAAAGGCAAGATGGACATATAACCAGATTGTGACCAGTACCATCAATGTTGGAACTCTGTGCTGGCTGCTGAAGGTGAGGATGGAGCATGCAGGGGAACATCCCGAGTGCTGTAATGTTCATTCTTGACTCAACCCAACTCAGTCATCCTGAAATCCCATGCTCTAATTGTGAAACACTTTTCTGAACGTGAGCAGGTATTGCTAGTCACCATGGCCTGTGACTCCAATGCTTCTCTATAGCACAGTATAACAGGACATCTGAAAAGGCAGATAGATGCCACAAACAACAATATACTAATTTTTTACAGTACAAATTTTGCAATGGCTGTTACCAGCAATGACTGGTCACTGCAACTGCTTTATGAGATCAAGGTACAGTTCACTCCCTCACTGACTAATTAGTAGTTAGTTACCTTATAATATTCTTTCTCATCAGCATCATGTGCCACATACAAAGGAAGACCAGCCAGGGCTTTCTCTAAGTCCTTGGCTATGACTTTAACACCCTGGGCTGCCTTGACTGTCTTGAAATGCTCATACTGGTTCTGTGAAAGCACATACACAATACAGGTTTACAGTACACATATATAAAATAGCTAATGTACATATGCTAAACAGACAGACATGGTAGTATAGAGGCTAGATGCTCTGTTGCTGGTCAGAAGCCCTTAGGTTCAAACCCACGTGAAGACAGATTTAAAAAAAAAATTGAAATGACCACTGGTTGCCAGGTCCAACCAGCCCAGAACAGGTACCAGGTAATGACTTCCGGTCCAATTTTGCAGATCGCCACTTTGCTGTTGACACTGAAAATTTATTTTTCTAGCCAGTTTTTGCAGATGCAAATTCTCCATTTCTGGACCAGAAGTAAAAGTTCTGTTGCTCAGCTACTCAGATGAGTGACTGGTGCGACAAATTGGGATGTGGATGTTATGTGGAATGTGATCATGACAGCTTTGTATAGTTAACTGTACTAACAATGGCAGGTGTCCAATGCCGTTTTTAAAGGCTTGTACTCATGAAAGTACTGTGTGTACAATGCCAGCTTTTGTAACTGTCTGCTTGTATCAGCTGTGAGCTGCAATTCTGCTGTAGGACATATTGCTGATACACCCAATTGCTACCTTATGCACTCATTTTGTATGTGCAAGCTTAAAATTTTTGCTGGAAATAACATGTTTTTCACTTATTGTCAACTAGGACAGTGAAGGATATTTTGTAAGATTTCCACAGGCATAAGATTGAAGTAGTTATGAGGCAACCGCCTGCAGTTGAGTTGGAACACTACTAATGACTAACACATAATCCAGAACCTTATACTTCTTTCGACACTCAAAAAGGTACAACAGAAAGTGAAGACAAAGTTACACAAACCACCTAATTACTGTACACATACAACAAAGTTACTGTACAAATTCTTATTCTTCTTCACATTCACCAGCTGTCAACTCCAGGGGAAAGTTCTGGTTGTTTGTCCACTTTGGGACTTTAGCCTTGTTCTACTAGAACTTAAGTTGCATGTACATCTGTTTCAAAGACCTGGTTGATCTGTATGCAGACTGTTGGTTCCTCATTTCTTAGGCTGATGCACTCTGTCTTCGAAGGAAACTAATTTGTTGACTCTTATGAAATATTTGTGGAAAGTTTGGGGGGAAAAGGGGGGGGGGGGGAGGGGGGGCGGCGCAGCCATACACACACATACAATGGAGGCCCAGAAACTCATACAGAGAGCACATATTCAAAATAAGAAGTTGTGGTCACACAGTGGCTGGATGCTCACACTGAGGTCTTGAGTTCAAATCCACATTGTGGTGATTTTTTAAAACACATGATCCTTGGCGCCTACAGCGACTCAGGCAAAAATGGGTAGCAAGCACTTTCCTGGTAGGTGAAGGTGCTCAGTGTGTTGCTGACCTCAGCCCCCACTGAGTGTCGATTGGTCTATAAAGGTATGAATCCAGCATCATGTGCCAAATGTTCCAACAACGTGAAGAGAGGTCCTTTACTTCATTTTATTTATTATACACAAACTGCCTCCTGGTTACCGTACACATACATAATAGTTACTGTACACATACAACATAGTTACCATATGCATAAAACTCAGTTACTGTGAACATACAACAGTCACTATAAACACACAACATAGTTACTGTACACACAACATTGGTTACTGAACCCCCCCCCCCCCCAGCATTATGTTCTGCTTTGATATAGGAAACAAACAAGGGCAACTACTAACCTTGACTCTGAGCTCTTTCATTGGCTGTGGCATCAGCAGGCCACGGATCTGCGTTACTATGGGGCCCTCAGTGCCAGCAAGGACTATAGTATCTCCTTCATTTAGAGCCCCATTGATGAGAATGACATCAATCGTGGTGCCCATTCCAGTAATAGCTTTGACCTAAGGGGAAAAAAATAAAAAATTATTTAAAAAAAAAAAATGAAAATATAAGATTAATTCTTTCAGTGCCATAGGTTTCTTGGCCATGCTAAAGATAAATATAATGCCCTTGCTGTCTTTTACCACAGACATTATACACCAACATCTAGTTTGAGAATGGAGGTGGAGGCAGTCAATGCAGCCATCCACTGGCTTTTTTTTTTTTTTTTAACGTATCCAGAAACCATGAGTTGTAAACCCTTTGGCTCGCTACTATGGATATCGCAACCCTTCGGCATTGATTCCATTATAGGTACCGTTAATCTGGTAGAAATGTGGCTTTTCTGCCTACCCCCGGGAGTGAGCCAGGACCACAAGGAGTTCGTCACCCGGCCGCCGCGAAAGTCAGGTTTAACCAACGTCGCTAGAGAGCCGGGCTCCACTGGCTTGAGAACAGGCTGAATACTGGTGGTGACGGTAACAAACTCAAACCACGATGAGAAAGGTGACGGTAACAAACTCAAACCACGATGAGAAAGGTGACGGTAACAAACTCAAACCACGATGAGAAAGGTGACGGTAACAAACTCAAACCACGATGAGAAAGGTGACGGTAACAAACTCAAACCACGATGAGAAAGGTGACGGTAACAAACCCAAACCACGATGAGAAAGGTGACGGTAACAAACTCAAACCACGATGAGAAAGGTGACGGTAACAAACTCAAACCACGATGAGAAAGGTGACGGTAACAAACTCAAACCACGATGAGAAAGGTGACGGTAACAAACTCAAACCACGATGAGAAAGGTGACGGTAACAAACTCAAACCACGATGAGAAAGGTGACGGTAACAAACTCAAACCACGATGAGAAAGGTGACGGTAACAAACTCAAACCACGATGAGAAAGGTGACGGTAACAAACTCAAACCACGATGAGAAAGGTGACGGTAACAAACTCAAACCACGATGAGAAAGGTGACGGTAACAAACTCAAACCACGATGAGAAAGGTGACGGTAACAAACTCAAACCACGATGAGAAAGGAGACGGTAACAAACTCAAACCACGATGAGAAAGGTGACGGTAACAAACTCAAACCACGATGAGAAAGGAGACGGTAACAAACTCAAACCACTATGAGAAAGGTGACGGTAACAAACTCAAACCACGATGAGAAAGGTGACGGTAACAAACTCAAACCACGATGAGAAAGGTGACGGTAACAAACTCAAACCACGATGAGAAAGGTGACGGTAACAAACTCAAACCACGATGAGAAAGGTGACGGTAACAAACTCAAACCACAATGAGAAAGGTGACGGTAAAAAACTCAAACCACGATGAGAAAGGTGACGGTAACAAACTCAAACCACGATGAGAAAGGAGACGGTAACAAACTCAAACCACGATGAGAAAGGTGACGGTAACAAACTCAAACCACGATGAGAAAGGTGACGGTAACAAACTCAAACCACGATGAGAAAGGTGACGGTAACAAACTCAAACCACGATGAGAAAGGTGACGGTAACAAACTCAAACCACGATGAGAAAGGTGACGGTAACAAACTCAAACCACGATGAGAAAGGTGACGGTAACAAACTCAAACCACGATGAGAAAGGTGACGGTAACAAACTCAAACCACGATGAGAAAGGTGACGGTAACAAACTCAAACCACGATGAGAAAGGTGACGGTAACAAACTCAAACCACGATGAGAAAGGTGACGGTAACAAACTCAAACCACGATGAGAAAGGTGACGGTAACAAACTCAAACCACGATGAGAAAGGTGACGGTAACAAACTCAAACCACGATGAGAAAGGTGACGGTAACAAACTCAAACCACGATGAGAAAGGTGACGGTAACAAACTCAAACCACGATGAGAAAGGTGACGGTAACAAACTCAAACCACGATGAGAAAGGTGACGGTAACAAACTCAAACCACGATGAGAAAGGTGACGGTAAAACAAACTCAAACCACGATGAGAAAGGTGACGGTAACAAACTCAAACCACGATGAGAAAGGTGACGGTAACAAACTCAAACCACGATGAGAAAGGTGACGGTAACAAACTCAAACCACGATGAGAAAGGTGACGGTAACAAACTCAAACCACGATGAGAAAGGTGACGGTAACAAACTCAAACCACGATGAGAAAGGTGACGGTAACAAACTCAAACCACGATGAGAAAGGTGACGGTAACAAACTCAAACCACGATGAGAAAGGAGATGGTAACAAACTCAAACCACGATGAGAAAGGTGACGGTAACAAACTCAAACCACGATGAGAAAGGTGACGGTAACAAACTCAAACCACGATGAGAAAGGAGACGGTAACAAACTCAAACCACGATGAGAAAGGTGACGGTAACAAACTCAAACCACGATGAGAAAGGTGACGGTAACAAACTCAAACCACGATGAGAAAGGAGACGGTAACAAACTCAAACCACGATGAGAAAGGTGACGGTAACAAACTCAAACCACGATTAGAAAGGTGACGGTAACAAACTCAAACCACGATGAGAAAGGTGACGGTAACAAACTCAAACCACGATGAGAAAGGTGACGGTAACAAACTCAAACCACGATGAGAAAGGTGACGGTAACAAACTCAAAACACGATGAGAAAGGAGACGGTAACAAACTCAAACCACGATGAGAAAGGAGACGGTAACAACTCAAACTCAAACCACGATGAGAAAGGTGACGGTAACAAACTCAAACCACGATGAGAAAGGTGACGGTAACAAACTCAAACCACGATGAGAAAGGTGACGGTAACAAACTCAAACCACGATGAGAAAGGTGACGGTAACAAACTCAAACCACGATGAGAAAGGAGACGGTAACAAACTCAAACCACGATGAGAAAGGAGACGGTAACAAACTCAAACCACGATGAGAAAGGTGACGGTAACAAACTCAAACCACGATGAGAAAGGTGACGGTAACAAACTCAAACCACGATGAGAAAGGAGACGGTAACAAACTCAAACCACGATGAGAAAGGTGACGGTAACAAACTCAAACCACGATGAGAAAGGTGACGGTAACAAACTCAAACCACGATGAGAAAGGTGACGGTAACAAACTCAAACCACGATGAGAAAGGTGACGGTAACAAACTCAAACCACGATGAGAAAGGTGACGGTAACAAACTCAAACCACGATGAGAAAGGTGACGGTAACAAACTCAAACCACGATGAGAAAGGTGACGGTAACAAACTCAAACCACGATGAGAAAGGTGACGGTAACAAACTCAAACCACGATGAGAAAGGTGACGGTAACAAACTCAAACCACGATGAGAAAGGAGACGGTAACAAACTCAAACCACGATGAGAAAGGTGACGGTAACAAACTCAAACCACGATGAGAAAGGTGACGGTAACAAACTCAAACCACGATGAGAAAGGAGACGGTAACAAACTCAAACCACGATGAGAAAGGAGATGGAAACAACAACAGCTACTGGGATCATCACTGCCACTGTTCAACTCTTTGTTCTTCTTCCCTGTGTTCAATGGCTGTAAACTCTGGGTTGTTCATCCACTTCTAGACTTTTGTGTTGCTCCAGAACTTTCCCAGTGTGGGTTCCTGGGCCCCCAGTGTGGGTTCCTGGGCCCCCAGTGTGGGTTCCTGGGCCCCCCAGTGTGGGTTCCTGGGCCCCCAGCGTGGGTTACTGGGCCCCCAGTGTGGGTTCCTGGGCCCCCAGTGTGGGTTCCTGGGCTCCCCAGTGTGGGTTCCTGGGCCCCCAGTGTGGGTTCCTGGGCCCCCCAGTGTGGGTTCCTGGGCCCCCCAGTGTGGGTTCCTGGGCCCCCCAGTGTGGGTTCCTGGGCCCCCCAGTGTGGGTTCCTGGGCCCCCAGTGTGGGTTCCTGGGCTCCCATTGTCAGGAAAACAAGAACAGGCCCACTGTCTCCCCAACAAGCATGTTGTAGGGGGCGATTTATTGATTTATTCGGAGCTTACTTCGAAGTGGGAGTGCATCTGTCCGAGCGGCAAGGAATAACCTACACACAAATAAGCCAGTGATGTACGCAAAACTCAGACCCTGGCACAGAACCAAGGTCCAAATGAACGAACAATCAGGACTTTCCGCTAGAGCTTACAGCGGTAAACAAAGAAGAGGTTCCATAACATGAGTTTTATGTAGACACCTATTTTACAAATCTGAGCTTATTTGTATGCAGACTGTTGGCTCCTTGCTCTTCAGTCAGCTGTAGTCTGACAGAAGGAAACGCCGCTAATATCGCTAGCCACGATATGTTATTGGCGGGGGGGGGGTGAAGAAGGAGGTCTATTCTGCAACAAAATTAGAGTGTTATATGCAGACACACAGCCATCTGAAAGTGGAAGGGTCCTTATAAATGTTTAGGGAGTGGAGCTTAAGGAAATTATGCCTTGTTTAAGTGTGCAACAAAATTAAAAATTAGTATGTGTTGACTAGCAAATGAATTAAAAATAGATAAGTGATTCCCAAACTGTGTGCCGCGTCGCTCCGTGGAGCCACGACCTCTTCACAGGGGCTCCGTAAAAAATTTGAAACTACACGATTTTTGTTGTTGTTGTAACTTTTACATAGGAGTAGTCATACTTTTACTTAGGTTAGGGCGCCGTGAAAATCTGTTTATTGAAAAAATGCGCCGCGGCTAAGAAAAGTTTGGGAAACACTGCAATAGATTATACATCTTCTCAAACCACTGAAATGGCACCATAAGTTACGAAGCAACCTGTATTTAGTGTGGGTGGGTCTTGAAAAAAAAATGAAAACGGTCCCCCAGACTGACCTTTAGCATTGCCAGAAAGTTGACGTCGCAGGTGTAGAAGAGCCCTTTAAGTCCCTCTCTAGTCTCCACCACAAGGCCAGGCCATATACAAGAGATGAAAGAACCCCAACCCTTCGTTAGAATCCTTCCAACAAACCCCCTGCTTTATCCATTAGAAAACATCAGACCACCTGGAAACTCCCCCTGGAGTTTGAACCACACCCCCACATGGC